TTTAATTTTAATTTTCTATTTTAATTTTAATTTTAATTTTTATTTTAATTTTAATATATATTTTTTTTTTTTTTTTATTTATAATATTTATATAATAATTTATTTCACATTTATTTTATATTTTATATATATTAATTTTTTATATTTATTTATTATTTTACACTTTCATTATACTATAAGTTTAAAAAAACATTTTTATATTTTTTTTTTTTTTATATTTTTTAAACATTTATAATTTATATATATAATAATTATTAATGATTTTTTTATATTTTTATTTTTTAATTTTCAAATATTTTAATCTATGCCTATTCTTTAAAAGTTTTTTTATAAATAATTTTTAACTTATATAATATTATTAATATTTTTAAAATCATTATCATTTTCAATGATATTATTAGGTAATAAATCTTTAACTATATCATTATATTACTTTTTAATAATATCAATTTATTCTATAAACTAATAAAAAATAATACACTATATTAAAAATATAAATAAATACTTATTTATATATATTTTCTTTATCCTAAAAGACTTTATTTTGTTCATTTTATAAAACTTCTACTTATTCTTAATATACTTTATTATAATTTTTAAAAATTTTTTATTATTCTAAATCTCCATCATTATCCATATTTGTAAAGTCCTTTTCTAAACATATTTTTTGTTTTTTTATTTGGGCAATTTTAACTTATAAATCTTTCATATATTGGCTTTTTTTTTCTTCTTCTTCTTTTAATTTTTATATTTTTTCCATAATTTTAATCAAATTTTTTCTTCTTTCTTTCTCATTCTATATAGATTATAGTACATTTGAAAATGCATTTATAGTTTCTTTTGTTTTTATTAATCCTTAGCGAATAGACTAATCTTCTTTTATTAAAGGTTTAATAAATTAAATGCTTTGTTTGAACTTTTAGAGAATTTCTTTTATATCCATATTATCAATTTAAATCAGATTCGAATATTTTAAAAAATATTCAATTGCGGATTAAAATGCATATCTTTTACTTTAGTTTTATTGTAAATCATTAAATTTACGTGCCTCTTATTAACTTTTATTAATAAATTAACTAGAAATCAATTCTAACTTAATATTATATATTTTATAAATATACTTATTTTTCTTTTTTACTTAAATTTCTGTTTCATCTACTTCATTTAATAGAATTTTTTCCTCATTTTATAAAATATAGAGATTTTCTTCTATTTTAACAAGCTTTTTTTGTTTTGTTTGAATTATTATTTTTATTTGAAAAAAATAAAACATTTTCTAATTAATCGATAAAATCTATATAGTAATTTATCTTAAAATTTTAATTATCTAATTCTTCTTTACAAAATAAATCTTGTAAATCTTAAATTCTTTATTATCTTTTATATAAATTACTTTTTTTAAATTATATTTTAAAATATAAACCTAATATTTTAAAGATCATTTAATAAATTCATTATTTATGAAATATTTTATATTTTTTCATTTTTGATTTCGTTTCTTTATACAAGCTATTCTTTTAGAATATTATTGGTTTTTTATTTTCTTGCAAGTAATGGTTCTACTTTACTTAGATTATTTTAATTTTTTTAAATAAGTAAATCGCTTATATTATCTTCCATAATATCTAGATTTTAACAGGTTTCTTATACTTATAAATTACAATTATGAAGCTTTTATAATTAAAATATTTATTTATTTTTAAATAAAAAAATCAACTTTTTCATCTAAATTTTATAAATTAAGTAAAAATTTATCAATTTCGTCTTCAAATTATTTATTATGATCCCAAAATAAAGAACTTCTTTAAATTTCTATTTATTTTCTTTCTTAATTATCTGGATTTAAATCATTAGCTATGCTTTACATTATTCTTTAAATTTTTGGTTTCAGTTTTGTGCTATTTAATAAATTTTCAATATATTAATCTCCGTTTTAATTATCTATAATATTGTCTGATAATTAATTTAAGGTTAATGTTTGTATTTTATTTGTTCTTTCTATATGAATTTATATAATTTTATCCCTTTTTGCTTTTATTAATATTCTTCTTTTATTTACTAGGTTTATTATGCTATTTACTTTTTTCTTTTTTTTTATATATATATATATATGTTTTACAATTATTTTCAAGCTGTTCGTTTAGTTGATTAATTGTTAAGTCTAAAATATTTTCTGATTACTAAATTTATTTATTTGAATAATCTTATATTTCATAGTCTTATGAATTATATATGAATTTTGGACTAGTTGTTTTCATTTATTTTTCAATTAAAATTTTTTATTTTTTTATTTTTTTTGCTTTTTTTTTATATTTTATATTAAAAATACATTTATATTTTATTCTACATAATTATTAATGAAATAAAATTAATTTTAAATTTTATTCATATAAGTAATTAACATAAATTATATTTTATTTATTAAAAATTATATTTTATTTTAATTAATTTGTATTTTGTATATAATATATTTATATATAAAATTGCTATCAATAATTAATTTAATTTAATTTTTTTAAATATAAAATTAAATATATTAAGTATATATTATATATATAACTTAAATTAAAAAATAATATAAATATGATTAAAAGTTAAATATTTATTTAATTTCTTTAATAATATTTTATATAATTTATTATAATCAAATAAATTGATATATAATTAGTTATGTATAAAAATAAAAAAAAAATATAAATTAATTATTAATATTAAATTATTTTTTATAAAATTATATAGTTTAAATTCAAGTTTTTTTTTTTTTTTATTATTTTAATTTATCTTATTAATTAACAAGTTTAAATATAAAAAATTTTATAGTAAAAGTAATATATATATATCTATATATATGTAATTTATTGTCTTAAAAATCTATTTAAATATGGGTAAATAATTACAATCATATATAAAAATCAATTATTTAATTAAAATATTATATAATTATTTTATTGTTTATATATATAAAAAATTTAAAATAATAATAATAAATAATATTTATTTAAAATAAAGATGGGTTCATGTATTTCTAGAAATGATAAAAAAATTAGTAAAAGATAAAATTTAAAATAATAAAATATAGTATAAAAAACAAATAATATTATTAAAAATGCTTGATATTAAATAACTTAATATTTTTAAAATTAAAATAAATACCAATTTAAATTAATTTTTTTGGCAATATAAAATTATTTATTAATAAAATAAACAAATAGTTAATTTTAAATAAAATGGAATAAATGATAATAATTCAAATAATGTTAAAACTTAAAATTTTGATAGATTACCAAGTACAATTTTAAAAAAAAAAATCGATGTAATTTTTTTTTTATATTTTTAAACTAAACATTTTAAATACTCATTTGATTAAATTAATAGATTAACTATAAAAAAATACCGAATTTAATACATAAATAAAATTCTAAATTTATAAATCATTAAGAAGGAGAATAATAATTTTTATATGGACTAGTTGGATTAAAAAATTTATAAAATACTTGTTTTTTAAATTCTGGTATTATTAATTTGTATATTAAATTTATATTTATAAAGTTTTTTAAAAAAATTGAAGCTGTTTAATGTTTAAGTAATGTGCCACCATTATGTGATTATTTTTTTAGTAAATTACACGAAAAAGAAATTAATAAAAAAAGTCCATTTGGATCAAAAGGATAAATTACAAATAGCTTTGCAAATTTATTGCTGTAAAAATTAATTTATATTTAATAATATTTTTAATAAAATAAATAATAACAAAAGCCAATTGTGGTAATCTAATTAAAATTTTATTTCTCCAGTTAACTTTTTGAATGTTTTATATAACTAAAAGTGTTAATTTATAGACGGGACTTAATAAGATTCTCATGAATTTTTAATATATTTATTAGATATTTTACATGAAGTTAATATTAATATATAAATAATATATATATAAATATATACCT